TTGGTTTTCCCAGTCGCCTTCATAGTGATCAGGGGCAGGATTTTGAATCGTACACAATCAAAGAACTGTGCACATTGATAGGAGCAGACAAAGTTCGTACTACACTATACCATCCCCAGGGGAATCCTGTGGAGCGCTTTAACAGGACTCTTTTAAGCATGCTCGGGACCTTAGAGGAAAAGGACAAACAACACTGGCGAGAATATGTCAAACCACTTGTACACTCGTACAATTGTACTTGAAATGATACAACTGGCTACCCACCATACGAGTTGATGTTCGGCAGGCAGCCGACTCTCCCTGTCGACCTAATACTAGGCTTCAAACCTCCTCTTGAGAACTGTGAAACACACTCAGACTATGTTCAAAACCTACGTCAGCGACTTCAAGAGAGCTATGCACTTGCTGCAGAAAACTCTAAAAGGTCTGGAGAAAGGAATAAGCATAGATTTGATGCCAAAGTAAGAGCAGCTGAGTTAGCTTAAGGAGATCGAGTCTTAGTGCGCAACGTGAACATACGAGGGAAACATAAGTTATCTGACAAATGGGAGAGGCCCATCCATATAGTTGTTAAACACTTCGATGATGGACCTGTGTATGTTGTCAAACCAGAGTCTGGAAATGGTCCCCAACGTACACTTCACAGGGACCTATTATTGCCGTGTGGATTTCTGCCAGTTGAGATCCCTTCCCAGGCAGGGTCTCATCCAAACAAAAAGAAAAAAATGCATTTAAGGAGCAGTCAGAATGACAGCCAAGAAATGGAACGTAATGATTCAGAAGGCGAAGAGGAAATGGATGATTATTATGTTGATGAACCCCCACAGTTCACTACGTTGGGACCATTTGTCCAGGAAATTGAACACACACAAATCAGTCCATCTCCGTCTTCCTTGAATCCCACAGCTCCTGAGTTTAAGTCATCTGAGCCACAAGTACCAGACCATCCATTCTCACCCCATGGGTCACGTGACACAAGCAACGCAGTAGTTCATTCTCCAGCTCCACAGAAGGACTATGTCATAATAAACATGCCAGAAAGTGACATTATGAGTGATCAGGAAACCACTGACTCTACCTTGGTCCATGAAATGGGTTTTAGTCAGCATGATGACATGCAACCCAGAAGCTCTGAGGCTACTTGTGGAGGAGAACCCAGTGAGCTCAGACGCTCATGCAGAGAAAGGCATCCCACACACAAGCTCACTTATGATGAGTTGGGGAAGCCCTTGATCCTTGCCCTTACTCATTTTCTTGGGAAGCTACAAGATGTTCTTGAGCCTCCGATTTCTTGCKGAGTTTAGCCTGCATGAAGGGACTAATGCGGTTTAGAGGGGGAGKATGTAACCCTCTTAATTTAATCCCCTTTATTATTGTAATTAATGTATTGGTCGTGTTTAAAGAAGTTATGAAAGTGCAATTATTTTTTTCCGCCACTGGGTGGCAGTGTACTAAAACCGCCATATTGAAGGCCCTTCTTTCTGGCAACTTCTTTGACGTTGTCCTTGNACTGGGTGGCAGTGTACTAAAACCGCCATATTGAAGGCCCTTCTTTCTGGCAACTTCTTTGACGTTGTCCTTGTTCTGAACCGGAGCAGAGAAACAAGCAGAAAAGCAGGAGATGAACCAGATGCATCTTGAGATCGTGTGAATGTTATTGAACTACGTTGGAACTTGAACTTGAATCAGTTGAATGTGAAGTTGTCTCAACTGGTTTTTTTTAGAGGTTTCATTTTTTTTTTTGGATTTGGACCTTTGGAGTTCGTGTTCGTCTCTTCACCTTCAGTGGCTCAGGTGCCTGGATCCTTGGTCTATTCACCACCTACTAACAGTGCTGCAACAACTTACTTGGATGTTCCTTTGATGAACGTTGGGTATCAAAATGGGTGGTAGGACAATTTGTTTTGAGTGCACTCAGAGGTGACTGATTTACTTGAATTTTTGATTATTATTATTTTTTTCCTGAGATCTCAGAGGTACTATGTTTGGTTGTATTTTGTTTGATTGTACTGATTTCGTGAATGCCATTTGAGTTGAAATTGAAAAAATAATATAATTTCTATTAATTTAAACTTAGATTGTTTCTTGTGAATCATTGGGGTAGATCCTATGTCACAAAAAGGCTTAATTACAACTATACTTCTCCTCAGAACCTAGACTTAGATAACCCTATCCTCTGATCTTTAGAACTTGCAAAAGCAGTAACAATGGGCCTCATGCAAGAACCGTTCGTACGCACAGATTTGTTCTTAAGTTGTGCATACGAGTGA